CCCCCCGGCGTTTTACAAAGTCCTAGTTTCTCATAATCTCTTTGAACTGGTTTTGTCATCCTGCTGAGTCCCTCATTCACGAGCTAAATCCAATGCTAACAGGTGTTCACTATTTGTATGAGAATGGGAGCTTTAATGTTTTGAGAATTATGCTTTGACAGAGTCTGTTCTCTAATATGCAGTTGTGTGTCTTTATATATACATGCTTGGAATTAGCACTTTAAAAAAAAGAGAAAAAAAAAGGCTGGTGCCTCCTTACTCTTCCTTGTTCTTGTTAACTCAGCCTGAGGATGGTCTATCTGCCAGGACTGCACAACCCCTGAGACAGGTATGACAGCCTGCCTGCCGGTGGACAAGGGACCATGGGCCTAAGGTAGCTGCTGTAGACTGAATGTTGGCGCCTCTCCCAAAGTCACGTGTTGGAATCCTAACGCCCAAAGTGATGGGATTTGGAGATGGTACCTTTGGGAGGTGATTAGGTCATGAGGCAGGGAACCTCATAAATGGAATAGTGTCCTCATAAAAGAGCCCCCAACCCCTCCTACCAAGTAAGGACAAAGCAAGAAGATGGCAGGCCCTCACCAGACGTGGAATGTGCCAGTGCCTTGATCTTGGGATTTTGTTATAGCAGCGCCCACAGATTAAAACAGGTATAGTGGGCCAGCCCTCAAGTTGGCTGTGAAGGAGCATCTAGGGACCACTACAGGGCATACCCTGAGGACACTCAGGGCAGAGGAGCTGCGTACCTGGAGGGAGAGCACTGGCAGGCCTTCCTGGGGCCCCTGTAGTGGAGTTCCTGGTCTTGGACCTGTCGCTTCAGCTTCACGGGGCGTCTCCTTCACTTCACTGTGGTCACTCCAGGTGACTTTATGAAGTAGGTCTCTCTCAATCATCTTCCTTCTCTCCCTTCGGAGGGCTCTCCGGTTTGCAGAGTCTGAGCCCTCCCGAACCCAGGAGGCAGCATTTGGGTCCATCCCTGGGTCTCCTTCTGGGAGACAGAGGGTGGCTTCTCCCTGCGGTCCCCAGGGAGGACTCGGGGATCCTTTGGTGTTGAAAGACATGTCGCCTTCCTGCCATGTGGGTGTCTCCTTAGGCATCCTAAGAAGAGAGCTTCTCTCACCACTGTTCTCCAAGGGCTGGCCAGGGTCCCTTCCTTCCTTCATCCCTGCATTCCTTTCACCCCAGGGCTCTGCTGAGAACTCCACAGGCACCACAGGTGGCTGTTGAGAAAACAGATGTCCTCAGTAAGCAGCCTCAAAAACATACTTTAGGGAAGTTTTGTGTGTTTTTTTAATTGTGGTAAATATGTATATAATAAACTTTATCATGTTAACCATTTTTAAATGTAAAGTTCAGCGGCATTAAGTACATTCATAAAAATGCTGTGCAACCATCACGACTATCCATTTCCTAAGCTCTTTCACCCCCAAACACAAACTCTGTACCTCCCCTCACCCAGCCCGATAAACCTGAATCTACTTTCTGTGTCTATGAATTTGCCTATTCTAGATATGTCATAGAAGTAGAACTATACACTGTCTGTTCTTTTGTGCTCTTTCACTCAGCTCAGTGTTTCTAAGGTTCATCACGTTGTAGCATGTGCCAGTACTTTATTCTTTTTCATGGACTGAATAATATTCTACTGTATAGCTAGACCGCATTTTGTTTATCCATTTTGTTTGTTGATGGACACATGGGTTGCTTCCACCTTTGGCCACCATGAATTGGCCACAAAGCTATTAAGGGGTCACAAGATGAAACCCAGACCCTTTGACTCTAGAGCAAGTCCACAGTTCCACCCCCATGAATTGGTACAGATTTTATCATCTCAATTTTTAAAAAAATCATCTAGAAGAATTGCTGAAGTAATCATAGAAATGAAGAAAACCCCTGGTCCAAGGTGTGGTGGGCTCCTGGAAGAGTACTGTGCACAAGGAGGGTAAATGTTTGATGTCTGAACTCCTTGGGTTATACCTGGCGAAAGGCCTGGGTATGCAGAGATGTTGGGCCAGGGGTTTTAATCTCTTTGACCCCACTGCTGTTAGAGTCCAGTGAACTCCATGGACACTCACTCCCACACCCCATTCTGCCAGCAGGTTCCCAGCATTGTGGCTCCCTGAAGCCTGCATTTCACAGACCTCAGGAGGAGACCTGTTGGCTGGAGTGACCCAGGTCCCGTCAGGGTCTTCAGCCAGCTCCTCCGACAAGTCTGGAATCAGGGTGGTTTGATTTCGCTGGTAGATGAACAGCTCCTCTTCTCCGCAGTCTGACTGTGGACAGACAAGAGAGCTTTGGGATTAGAGGGCAGAGGGCAGAGCCAAGAGGGCCTCACCCATTTACCCTGCCCTTTTCTGCTGCTGGGGAACCAACCGTAGGGGCTATCAGTTCTCTCCTAAAGGGCCTTGCCCTGGGTTGGTTCCTGTGGCCAATTTAGAAAAGTGGGCTCAGCAGCACCACCTCGTGGAGGTGAGATCCAGAGTGAGCTCCCAGTTCTCCACATACCTGCCATCCTTAAGACACTGCATAGAGCAGGTGCTTAGTTAATGCCTGTTGCGAAATGAACTGGGCACTGAAGTAGTAGCTAAAAGAACAGAGTCCAGCCCTCCCCCTCCCCCAAGCCTTGAACCAGCATTTAATGACATGGAGCCTTGGTTTGTCACCTCTAAGACAGCGTTGGGGAGGCACTTATAGTCACCAGCCCACCTCACAGGAGTATTCTGAAGATGTGAAAAGGCATTTATCTACTCCCTATTAGCCTTGCTGTGCACTAGAAGATCCCTGAGGTTGAAGCTGTCATGTTCGTTTTTGCAAGTACCACAGGTAGGAACCAAATCTGACTTGTTACTTCTAAAACCTTTGCTCTCTAAACACCCAGCTTCAACTTGTGAGTTTGACATCCACTGTTGAGCTCCTACCTGGTGTATCGCCTACTTCGCTCTGTTCATGGGGTCACTGTTATGTCTCACATGTATGCACAAGCCTAATTTCCACTATGTGGAGAAGCTGGTACAGCTCATTTAAACCTAAATTCAGAGTCACTTTTGTCACCCAACATTCTTTTAGTCAACAGGAACTAGACACAATTACCATCATGGTGAAGCAGGGCCCACCACAGTGTATAATGTTACAAAGGCCTCCTACTCCTTGAACAGGATGAGTAGGCTCCTTAAATGTTTGCTGAATGCATGTGATCAATATGAAAATTACTATGTATTATACATTCACCATGTGCCAAGCACTGTGCTCTAATGTAGATTATTTAATCCTTACAACAATTTTCAACGTGGAGCCTCAGTCCTTAAGTCTTTCATGATGTACCTCTCTGTTTATCATCGTCCTCCATAAAGCAAACTAGGTGTCTGCCAGGATGAGAGAAATGCTAGGATAAAGCCCTGGCCGAATGGCTCGGCTGGTTAGAGCATCTTCCCATGCACCAAAAGGCTGCGGTTCAGTTCCCGGTCAGGGCACATACCTAGGTTGCGTGCGGTTCAATCCCCATTTGGGGCATATATGGGAGACGGCCAATTGATGTTTCTCTCCCACATCGATGTTTCTCTCTCTCTCCTCCTTCCCCTCTCTCTAAAAATCAATAAACATATCCTTGGGTGAGGATTAAAAAAAAAAAAGCTAGGATGATTTTGTTAACTCTGTTAACTCTGGGCCAGGCACTTTACAAACAGAATCCCAAATTTGTACCAGTGATAACTATCTGAATTTGCAGCAAGGAAACTGAGGCTGACTCAGGTGTGGCAACTGCCCACAGATTGCATGGTAAGTTAGCAACAGAGTGGGCATGGGGACCCAGGTCTGCTTGATGCTGATGCTCCTGCTCTTCTTCCCACCTCTGCTGAGGTGCTTTCTCAACTCTCTGTTGGGTCAGGACTTGGCCAGAATCACTACTGAGAGTGGCTACTATGTCAGTGCCTTGTGAAAAGCCCTAGGAGGAATTCTCCAGTTGTCATTTGAGGTCAATGATAAGGCCTAGGAGGATGCTGAGCACCAATAAATATATTCAGAGAACAAAAACTGATGATGAACTCAGAGCTGATAGGCTCCATAGCTGTCCATGCATCAGCATCACGTTTGTCATGGGAAAGGAAAAGCAGTCAGGGCCTAGGACAACATGGGAAGAAGGAGCTTACTTACCAAAGAGGAATCCGAGTCAAGAGACGGAAGCTGCTCCCTGACAGCCTTGAGAATGGCCTCCCAGGGCCCCATCTGGGAGGCCCAGGGAGAGGGCAGTGAGAGCCCCACATCTTTGTCTTGGGATGCCATGGGGGCTTGGGCTCAGGGGAAGCTTCTCAGTGTGTCATCATCCCAGGAACCCTGCGGAGGATGTGGGGTGAGGTGACAGGATCCAGGGACCAAGGATCAAGAGTTTGGGGAGTCAGAGGGTTGCCTTTTCAAAGCATCTACCACTTTGTGGGGGATGAAAACCAACTCACAGACCTCCTACCCCATTTCCCTTCTGGTTCTGCAGGTTCCTGTTACTGAGTGCCAGGCACTGTGCCCTGCACTGTGTGTGTGTGTGCAGTGCTGTATGGAGCCTGAAGATATATGCATATGATATATATAATATTATATGATAACATATAGATATATGTATTGACATATACTGATGTACATAGGTATATGATTTGTAGAATACAGGTATATGATATATAGATATATGTAAACTATATATCTCTAACATAAATACTATTACCTACTTTCAAAATATATATATCTTTATTGATTGCAGAGATAGGAGGAAGAGGGAGAGGGAGAGAAACAACAATGATGAGAGTCATTGATCTGCTGCCTCCTGCACACCCCCTACTAGGGATCAAGCCCACAACCCCAGATGTGCCCTGATCAGAAATTGAAGTGGGATCTCCTGGATCCTAGGTCGATGCTCAACCACTAAGCCACGCCAGCCCGGCAAAGCCCCTCTAATTTTGATACGAATTCTATCTTTGCCATTTACTAACAATATAACATCTATAAAATGTAGATGATAGCCTGGTTGCGGGCTTGATCCCCAGTAGGGGGCGTGCAGGAGGCAGCAGATCAATGACTGACTCTCATCATTGATGTTTCTCTCTCTTTCCCTCTCCCTTCCTCTCTCTAAAATCAATATATAGTTTTTTTAAAAAAATTAGAGGGGCCCTACTACTTTTTACTGCTCCCTTACTAAGGAATAGACCAGAGACATTTTGGAGTCCCCAGGAGATTTTTTTTTTTTGAGTCATCACTCAATTTAACCCCTTATATCCAGGCACCGAACCAGCCCCACCTTTTATATCCCAGTCTAAAAGGAAAAGGCCCAGACCTTCAAGGTCAAGGGGGCTTTAGGAATGTGGGATGATGGTATCTCAGAGCCAGTGCCTGGAGAATCCTTGCAGCCTGAGAGGCAGCAGGGCCTATAAAGTGGGAATCCCGCTCCAGCCCTAGCTGGCTGTCACTCTGCGTCAGGGCTCCCATCAGTTTAGCAGCAGGAGACGTGAGTGGGGGCTTCTTGCTTCTTCAGTGCTTACAGGAGGGGGGACAGGAGCTTGGTGCACCCAGAACTGGCAACTGCAGAGTGTGGATGCATGCAGTGGGAACGTCATGGGATGCTCTCTGGCTGCAGGGCAGATCAGAGGACAGCAGAATCACGTAGGTGAAGGGAGCTACCAGAGACTCTGATAAGTTCTTTAGGTGGACCAGGCAATCCAGGGAAAGGGAAAGGCGTAACAGGCTGCGGGAGGAACTTATCAGTGTCGCAGAGGAGTGAAAACTGCCCAACAAGTTTGCGGCAGGACGGTGTCAGTTGCTGGACTTTGAGATAAAAACGGACCAGATCGCGAAGAGTCCTGAAGGCCAAGCTGGGGACCTTGGCTCATCCTGCAGATGAGGTTTAACCCAAACGCTACGCAGACCCGCAGCTCAAGTGTCCTCCGAATCCACTCCGAATCCACGTCCGTTTCTTGGCTGCAGCCCAAAGGCCCGCCCCTGCCCCCCCACCCAGCTACGGGGAGGGTGGTTGTTATGACAACTAGACGCCAACCGTCTCCTGGTCACGCTTTTAAAGGCTAAATAAAGCTCGGAAATCGGAAAACCCGGCGTCTGTCCTCCCATACACTCCCAGCCCCTGTCTCCCCCATGTCCCGTCCAACTCCCGACATTTCTCTCTGCAGCTGCGGCAGGCCCGAGGCCCCTCACCTCCGGCCTCCCCTCCCTGCGCGGTCCCGACAGGGCTATACTGTTTCCAGCGCGTCCCTCCGGTCGCTTTCGCCCCCTTGGGCGGCAGCGCAACTACGGAGGCTTCCACCGCCTCCGGAATACCCTCTCAGCAGAGCCTTACTTTACTGGCCGGCCAACGGCTTCCCCCCCGCGCCTCTTTCGGGGCTTGGCGCGTCTTGCCTGTCTTGAAATAGGATTGGTTTCTATGGTCGGAGAAGGGGCGGGGCAGGCGCGCTCCCCCTGCTCATTGGCTGCAGCGGGCGTCCTACAGAGAGCCCGGGCGAGCTGACGGGAAGGTCCGGGTGTGGGACCGGCTAGCGCCACCGCGCTCCCTGGAGCTCCGAGGATCCGCGAGCGTCCCGGCGTGCTCCGCGCCTCCTCAACCACTTCCGGGGCGGGAGCCGGGCCGCGGGGTCCAGGCGCGGAGGCAGCCGGCGAGGAGGGCGCCCAGGGGCAC